GGTCCTTCTTTAGGTGTTTTCTATATCTTTGGCCCAAAGTGACCGGACGTCCAGTATTTGATTCCGAAGAAAGCGGGGGATTGTTATAAAATAGTCAAGTATTGACTTCTCAGTTGCTATTCAAATCAATCAAATGTAAATTAAATGCGGTTAAAAACTTAGCATGGGACTTAAAGGCGTCATTCGTACCATGTACCATCTCAATAAAGTGGAATTAAAATTGTATCCTATCAATTTTAATCTCTGCAATCGATGTCGTCCGGTTGTCGCATCGTTCGGGTGAAAAACTTCAAAACCCTTATTATTATTATGTTATCAAACTAATATAACACTATGTTTTATGCATCATTTTACGTTGTTTGAATACTAACTGTCTCAGGGATAAACAGCAGTATTTAGATAATATCTACATCGATTACGAATAGTTGCTAACACAACTAGATGCGGTTTTTTACATGGCGTTCTAATACCATTTTACATTCATCTGAATTAAAAAAATGAATGTTGTGAAAGGCTCACGTTTGACTTGTACAATTAAACGCAATTTGTACAAACCCCCGAACGATTCGAATGCTATTTTAATTGCATTAATTGGACCCTTTAAAATACCTTACTGAAACAATACGGACAGGCACCGTTAATTACAAGAAACAATAAAACAATCTGATTTCAAAGTAATTTGCCGTTTAAAGTGAGTAGATCAAAATTCGACTTCTGAGAAACTCTGCGAAAAAGATACTGAGATGTCGATTACTGCCTTGGCCAGTTGAAGCCGCATATTTTTTACATCTACACTCGTTGGCATGAAGTTTTTTCAAAATTTGAGCGAAATTCACCTGCCGGTTGTCTTTGAAATGTTACTTTATCAAACGCCAAAGCACTGAAAAATGCAATTGGGAGTCACAAACCTCGCTACTGGATAAGACAATGAAGAGAAAATTTGGGGCTTATCTAGTATAGGAGATGAAAAACAAAATACCTTTCGGCAATGAAACACACACAGAGTTAATGGCCTTCTTCATCAGCTAAATCTGTTGAAATGGTTCCAGAAAGTGCTCGTTACTGCTCTCATTTTTTTCTTAACAAATCACACCTAAATCGAGAATGTTTTTTTAACGCTACAATTATCAGTAGCACTCACATGAAAAGTAAATGTCTTAACAGTGAGCAATTTCCTGACTCGCTGGTTATGAGTTAAATGTGGCACAACTTTGCATAGTGAGTAACTTTGACCGAGAAGAATCATTGAACTTTGCGCGAACTTTATCCATCTATTTATAAGACCAGATTCTCCAACTACTGTAGAAGAACATTTGTATGTTTTTATTGCAGTCTAACTACCTGTTGTTGGTCTCTATGTAGCAAATTAACAGTCTCCATTTGTATTTTCTTTAATTATGCCTCTGCTGTATCATTTACATGCCGCTGGTTTATTGCAAATACAATGATTATAATAGTTGGCGTAAATTAAACAAATGAAGAGCTTAAAATGAAATACTTCCTTTCTCACGTTATAAATGCTACACATAAAGCAACTGTGAAAAAGTACGGTTTTGCTTTAAGGAGAGTTAACTATGCCATTATTTGATAGCGAATTTAATTTGCATAATTTAGGGGCCTCCAGTAGCGAACTTAACATTGAGTTCTTATTCGCTCAAGGATGTGCATAAAAACAATACCATTCTGATGCATGGCTTATGGGACACTGATAAAAAATGTGAAGAACAATAAGAAGATGCAGATGAAGAATCATAATTTACAAAGAGGAAGTATTTAAACCGAGGCCACTTTTTATACGCCCTGGCAGGATATTCTAAATTATATTAATGAAGACTCGAAAAGATGCCTGCTATAATTATCATTTATGAACGAATTTTATTTTTCATGACAAGAGACCTCGAAATCCGCAAAAAAGTTATTATTCAGAATGGAGTAACGGTCAAAGTTCCAGTGGCGTATTCTTTCCTCTATAAAATAATAAATAACTCTTAGTTGTTTAATATTTGCGTTGTTGCTATTGTTAAATTTCACTTGTGAACACGTTTGTTATTAAAAAGAGAGTGCATTTTTTAACCAGATTGATGTTCCACAAGCAACGGCATAAATAACCAACAAGTAACTGGGTTACAGCTTTTAAAGTGCAAACTGTTTTGCATTTATTGCCTAGTTTTCAGGTTGTTTCGTGATTAAACTAGATTATCTTCATACTGTTCTCTACTGAATTCAATTTAATTGTGCTGATTTAGAATGTCAATTTAATACATACCTTGAATTTTAGTACACATTTAATAAACAAGAGGTAGAAGGCCGCTTAACATGAAAATAAACAATACCATAATTATGCGGTACCAAAGCAAAACGAACAAAGTATCCAAGTACTCAGTTCCATACAGTTCTTCGTCAATGCAAACATTATGTACATGGATTTACGAAATGGGGGTCGTTAAATTTATATTTTATGAATATTTGAATAAGCGTCGTTTGCTACGTACAAGGCGTTTGGGTTAGTTAAATACGCTTATGGCAATCGCAGTAAACGATAGGTTCTGTATTTTAATTGGCACTAAAAGGGTTTTGAAGTTTTTCACACGAACGATGCGACAACCGGACGACATCGATTGCAGAGATTAAAATTGATAGGATACAATTTTAATTCCACTTTATTGAGATGGTACATGGTACCAGTGACGCCTTTAAGTCCCATGCTAAGTTTTTAACCGCATTTAATTTACATTTGATTGATTTGAATAGCAACTGAGAAGTAAATACTTGACTATTTTATAACAATCCCCCGCTTTCTTCGCAATCAAATACTGGACGTCCGGTCACTTTGGGCCAAAGATATAGAAAACACCTAAAGAAGGACCACTTTTTTTGTAGGTGTTAAGTGTGTATCATAAGAGATAGACTTTCCACGACATTTCTTGAAGCTAATGGGTTTTTCGGGTTTTTAGGCCGTCGTTCGGTAGAATTTCTTCTTGACGTTTCGCAAGCACGAGTGGCTTGCATCTTCAGAAGTGGTTTG